AGGCAGCCCTGCAGGGGTGTGCTCACAGCTCGGTTCCCAGGCCAGCCCTGCTGGGAAGGTGTCAATGAGTAACCGTGACCCAGACAGGCCGTGAGTCACCCGGAGCCGCCTCTGACTCACCTGAGCGTGCGGGGGATGCTCGCTCGGTGCTGGGGTCAGGGTGGGTGAGACCTCCCAAACTCTGCTTCTTTAACCCCAAAATGGCCCGGGGAGGGGGGGAAGCTGCCCTCAGATGTCACCACAAAAACCTCACATAAGTGCAGGAGGACCTGCAGGAAGGAGGGGATGGCCCAGGGGAGATCCAGGGATGCCCTTGCTGTGTCAAATTCACATTTTCTGAAAAATCCCTCTGCCAGGATTTCTCTCCTGGGAAGCTGAGAAGCCTCAGAGAAAAAGGAAAACAATAATTGTCTGATTGCTTCTCCTGTGTTTGGCTGCTTTGGAATGTGGTTGGAGATTGTTTATCCAACATGAGAATTGTTTTAACTTAATGACCAATCAGGGCCAAGTTGTGTCCGGACTCTGGAGAGAGTCACGAATTTTTCATGATTATCTTTTTAGCCTTCTGTAAGTATCCTTTCTGTATTCTTTAGTATAGTTTAGTACAGCATTCTTTAATATAATGTAGTATCATAAAATAATAAATTGTTATTTTATTATTTTATAAAATATAGAAATATATAATACACTAGAATAGAATAATAAATTATTGTGCATTACTTTATATAATATATACATATATTATAGATTATATTTTAATATCATATATATTATACAATATAATATATAATATATAATATATTATATATATTATATAGTATCATGAAATAACAAATTATTATTTATATATTATATAAATATATAATATGTATTATATTGTAATATATTAATACATAATATATACTGTATTGTAATATAATACAGTATATAATATGGTATCATAAAATAATAAATTATTTGTTACTTTACATAATATAAAAATATAACATATTACAATATAATAATATTATAATATGATAATGATATAATATGACATGATAATATGATATAAGATATGTAATATAGTATCATAAAATAACAAATTACTATATATTATTTATTATGTCTTTCTAACAACATGCAGTCAGACTCATCATTTCCTTCCTGCCACGGGGGGGACCCCAAAAACAACCACCCAGAAAACACCCCATGGGTGAATCCTGGCTCATTCCCAGAGGATGCACTCACAGCATGGCAGCCCCTGCTCCCAGCTCCATCCACAGCTCCCTCCTCAAATTCCAGCCCTGACCAAGCCCCCACACCTGAGCACAGGTGGAAACCTAAAAATGGAACCCTCACCTTCCCCCCAGGCCCAGCCTGAGGGCTCTCTCACCACACACTCCCACCTGTTCTGCCTCCTGCTCTTTCCAGCAATTTCCCCTCAGCAAGGGCCACCCTGGCCCTGCAGAGCCCCAGAGCTGTCACAGGGCCAGGAATGAGGAAAGTCCCATTCCCCTTCATTCCAGAGAAGGGTGACAAGCACAGGTGACGTCAGCCCGGGCCAGCCCACGCTGCCCCAGGTCTCAGGAAGGTTCTGGCACCTGCTGACTGTTCTGGGTTATTTATTCCAGTGACAAACCCTGCAGGCTGAGGGATGGCCCTGACCTTGGCAGGGACATTTCCTGAGCAGGAGCTCTGCTGATTTCCCAGCAGAAAGAAAGAAACTTTCTGATTTTGTCATCTTTCTCAGAGCGGTGGTTGCTCTGTTCTCAGTCCCTCTGGCGCTGGGGCAGCTGCTGCAGCCCAACTGTGCCAACCCTCGGTGTTCCCAGGTCCCAGTCCGGAGCAGGTTCGAGATGGTCACAGAAACAGGAGAGGAGAAACAGTCCAGGAAGGAATTTCAACTGTTTAGCTAAACTAGCTAATAAGCAGAGGCCAAAGCAGAGCAGAACCAAGAGCAGAAAA